TCAAGCTCTTGTTCCCCCCCTGGTACCTCCCCTGGGAGAAAAGACTGGAGGAGAGGAGCCTGGGGGTCTGTCCAGCCTGAGGGTGAGTGGCAGCCTCAAGGCTGAGATGGATAAGTTAACCCAGGTGGACATTGACAAGATGCTGAGTGTCTGTGCTGCCCCCCTTGTTCCCCCACTCTCCCCTCAGTACAAGTGACCATCTACACAGAGGGGGCTTCCCTCCTCTCAGGCCGGAACCAGGGCTGTAGCCTATGGGTCTAGGCCAATTAGGTGGATGGGGGGTGGAGGGGGAGCAGGAGTTTGGCCTCTGCCCCTATTTGAGATCTTGAGCTCACTAGAAATAAATATTTCCTTTTCTAAGACCATGTCTCCCCAAATACGATGCCTAAATTGTGAAAAGAGGCTGGGAAGAAGGGTGGAGAACTCACCTATACAAGGTTTGAGACCAATTGGCCAAGTTAGGACCTTGACAAATAACAGATTCCTGGGTACCATCCCAGTTCTGAGTCCAAAGTGGGCATGAAGCAAGCATGAGGCCTTTTCTGCATATTTAGTTTCCCCAGGTGAGGCTGAGGGTCAAATGGCCTAACTGCAAGGGATGAAGGGGGAAATAAGGAGAAAGAACTTGAGATAAAGAGAAGACTATGGGAAGCAAATGTTTGGTCCTGCTCCCTCTCTCTTTTAGGGAATGAATGACCTACCTCTGGTCTCACCCCAAGGGGATCAACACTTAGGATCCTCAAAGTTCTTTTGCTTGTCCTGAGAATGAGAGTTGTACAATGTTTTCCACTCATTGCCATACCACAGTTAGATAAGGCCTTGCCCACAAGAGGCTCCTGGTGACCGGATATCAGTGTCTCGGTTGGTGGGGGAAGGGAAATCAGTGAGCGCATCCCTTGGAGCTCTGTGGCCAGCCCTGAGGGGTCTCTAGGAAGAGCCATGCAGTGCTAGCTGTTGTGGACACAAATCCTTCTGTGTGTTCTGCAAATACTTCAAACCTGAGGTATTCCACATTAAATAGATCATTTCTCCTCCCAGACTGTTTTGACTCACATATCATATCTATGCAAACTGTTCAAGCCAAAATGCTGGGCCTCACCTCAGACCACATCCTGCCCTTTGTTCCTCATTCCTACTAGGGAATCTGCATCAAGACCAGTGAATCTACCCACCCCCTTAGATCCCATGTTCAGGACCCAGGATAATGTCATCTCTGTGGGGGTCACCCACAGATCCATGCAGTGACCCTTCCACATGCACCCCTGCACCCCTGATGGGTCACCGACCCTCTAGCATCCTGCTCCTCTTGTCTCTGCTGCCTTGGAACTTCCTAATGGCTGCCTGTGACTCCCTAACCAGCCATGCCTTGTATTACTTTTTTTCTAAACATGGGGCTTTCCCTACCTAAAATGCTTTCCTTCCTTCACCCCTCTCCCTGGCTAGCGCACCTGTACCTTTGACAACTCAGGTACCTTTTACCTGCTGGGTCATGCAGCACCCACTGTTGTGTTAAAATGTAGCATCTGTATCCCATTACCACTGTGGGTTGTAGCTGTTTTCATGATTGTGGATTCCTCAATGTCACATATCCTGCAACACATCTACCTAGTAATGGCCTTCACCAAAGGTACCAAGGCAGGGAGAACAAGGTGAAGGATGGAGGAGGCTGCAGATAGGACAAGTCCAACTCTGAGTAGTTGGAACTATATGCAGGGCCCCTGGAATAATGGCCTTGTACGGTCATCAGAGTGGCCAGGCCCAGGGAAAAGAAGCAGAATAGGCATGGTGCCTTTCCTGACATCACCCTGAGCCACATTCTCCTTTGAGGGGTCACTTGGATGTTCACTTGGACATGGTAAAACAACAGGCAACGCTGGACGCAGGTGGCTCACGACTGTTTTGAGGATTGCAGGCTGAAGCCAGCCTGGGCAGGAAAGTCTATGAGTCTTTTTTTTTTTTTTTGGGGGGGGGTCCGGTCGTGGGGCCTGAACTCTGGGCCTGGATGCTGTCCCTCAGCTCTTCAGCTCAAGGCTAGTGCTCTACCACTTGAGTCACAGCGCCACTTCTGGCTTTTTTTCTTCTTGCTTATGTGGTGCTGAGGAATCGAACCCAGGGCCTCAAGCATGCAAGGCAAGCGCTCTATCACTGAGCCACCTTCCCAGCCCTCTATGAGTCTTTTATCTCCAATAAGCTACCAAAAAAGCAGAAGTGTAGCCTGTGGCTCAAGTAGTAGAGTGCTAGTCTTGAGCAAAAGAAGCTCAGAGACAGGGCCTAGGCCCTTAGTTCAAACTCCAAGACTGGCATACACATAAAAACAAGGCCAGAAATATAGTTGTGGCTCAGGTGTTAAAGCACCAGCCTTGAACAGAAAAGCTAAGGAGTAGAACCCAGGCCAAGTACAAGTTCCAACACCAGCAAAAAACTTTAAAAGACTACAGACAAGCTGGGTGGTTAGCATGTTCTTTTCTGCCTACAGGTTTTTCTGGGCAGTGATTTGCCCACTCCAGGTGATGCTGTTTCAGAGCTAGATTGAGATTGATCTCAATTTACAACTGGGGAAGCAGAGGCCTGTAGAGAAACAGTCTTGCAATTGACCACATCCTGAGGCCCTGGTACCTTTGCTCTCACTTAAGTTCTGCCAATGCCTGAATCCTAAAGGATGGCCTGCCCTCTCACTGGTCTTTGGGGCTAGAGTTGCAGACAAGGTCAGCACTGACCTTCCCTTGGTGATAGTGTAAGAAATGTGGACAGAAGCAGGGTGGATGGGAGGAATCACACAAAGGAACCTCATTGCAACTCCTAGAAGCCAACTCTAAGTGGGAGAGGATTCTTAGGCAGCATGATTCAAGGGAACATGAAGGTTCACAAGTGGGAGGGTGGCAAACACTTTACCACTAAGCTACAGTCCTACCCTATTAGAAGTTCTTGTCTGGTTGCTGTCTCAAAGGGAAAAATCTACAGTTTTTACTGGCCTGAAAAACTTCACCGGAGATTTAGAAAACAGGTCCTGGAAGATACTACTGCCTTTTTCCAGGAGAGGGCGCTGCAGGACAGCTTTGGAATTAGTTCCATGCTCAGTTACACCCCAGTTCCATTATCCACAGGCATCTGGGCCATTTCAAGGCCCAATTCTCTTCATTTTCACTGTAGCATCATAGAGCTGACACTGGGAGACACATGTTCAAAGATTCAGGGGTATGGGGTGATATCATGTCAGGGGCAGGGGTACTCTCAGAGGACCCTGGGTTTCAAAAATAATCCTACACTAGGCCAATAGCAATCTGCCCCAGCAATCTTCTAAAATCTCAGTACAACTGAGTTAGCAGGAAGGACTTTTCCACTGAAGGAACCTCTTGTGCTTTTTCAGTCACTCTCAAATTTAGGAGTGTAAAACACAGAAGGGGGGCTGGGAAGGTGGCTCAGTGGTAGAGCGCTTGCCTTGTACACATGAGGCCCTGGGTTTGATTCCTCATCACCACATAAGCAGAAAAAGCTGGAAGTGGCGCTGTGGCTCAGGTGGTAGAGCGCTAGCCTTGAGCTGAGGGATAGCACCCAGACCCAGAGTTCAGTCCCCATGACCAGCAAAACAAACAAACAAAAAACACAGAAGGATCAAACTGGAATTGAATTGAGCATTCCAGGCTCAAGGGACAGACTATTAACTGTTAATGTCCTGCCTAGGGTGAATACTCTCTAGTTCCCTTCCTAGCTTCAGAGGGCATCTTTTCAGAAGGATTCCCAAGTACTAGGATAAGGGCAGTTCAAGGTCAGGAACCGTAGTCAGATGGTCTTGACCAGGCACCTTGGCTCTGTACACACGTGTATGTGCATGTATGCTGGTCTAGGACTTGAACTCAAGGCCTATGCTCTTGCTTGGCAATTTTGTTCAAGTTGGCACTCCACCACTTGAGCCATACCTCCACTTTAAGCTTTTTGCTGGTTAATTGGAGATAAGAGTCTCATGGACATTTTCTGCCTGGACTAGCTTTGAACCATGATCCTCAGATCTCAGCCTCCTGAGTAGCTAGGATTACAGGTGTGAGTACTCAGCTACACCCCAGTAATAGATATATTAATAGTAATGTATATGTATATACATATATATAAATAGACATATTAATAGTAGAATGGTTTGGAGATTAATCACATAATAAGCATGAAGCATTTACCATGTGGGTCCAGCACACTGTAAGCAAACTCCAACATTAACTTTTGTTATTTTATCTCACAATAAAATTATTTCAGACAATGTCTGAAACCAGGATGCTATGGGAAAACAGGCCTGGTGACTTTTGTAAGGGATGCCAAGAGGAAGAGCCTTTTGGCAAAGAGCCAAGAGTAGGAAGAGGGAGGAAGAGAGGGAAGGAAAAAGAATTGAGTTCATCTAGGTTCACAATCCAGCAGGCAGGCAGGCAAGGGAAACAAAGGGGCAGATGAGTCCTGTTTCAACAGTCCACTCACCTAGGCCCTGCCCTCATCCGCAAGTTAGTTAATAAGTATGGCTGGTGGCTGGCTGGGTCAGGCAGTGCCAGCCAAACCTGCACTAAAGTGCCAGGGGCCCTTCCTCTTCAGGCTCCTCCCTTCTCAGGGATTTCTTGAAGGCAGCCATAGTTTCAAGAACAGAATCCCTAGGGCTAGGGGTGTGGCTCACGTGGTCTAGTGCCACCTCAGGAAACCAGAGGCCCTGAGTTCAATCCCATAAATAACAACAAAACAAAAACAAAGCAGATCCCTCCAGATTTCCAGCCTAGCAAGCCCCAGGCTTTGCCTTATCTGCCTAAATTGCCAAATAGCAAATTAGGAAACCTTGCCTCCTGTCCTCAAGCAAATACTTCTTTGGAGGACTCCTGGGACTTGGCCATGAGGGAGAGGCCAGAGCCGACAGTGGGCAGTGGTAGAGCTGCTACACAGTCCTGAGGAAAGAGAAAGCCAATCTGCAGTGATTAACGACCTTTTATTATTCAAGAAATCCAACTACCAAACAAACCACCGCATAGCCCGATGTCATCTTTTCTGACTTATTTATTGACATTTATCCGATGTTCTACAGCTCCCCATCTCCTCTTGGCCAAGTCAGGGGCCCTCTTCCATAGGTCAATAGCCCCTGAGAGCTCATTCAATACAGAAGCCCCACTCTTCTCTGCAGGAAGGTTTGGCCTGGGGTCTGGGTACATGGGAAGGCAGGTGAGGATCCCTGAGGGGTGACTTGTTGCCCTCACTCTTCCTGAGATGCCCCAGCCCAAGAAGGGCATGGAAACAAGGCTTCTTGTCATTTCTCCTCAGGCCTCAGCCAAGCCGGCTCCGCCTGGGCTTTTTTATCCTGTATGACCACAAATCAGAGCCCTTAGGCCAAACTTTTGCAGGCTTTGCTCCCTAGAACAATGAAGAGGCCTGGCAGCAGCTCCACTCTACACAGAGTGGGCTCACCCACCCAGCCCTGGTAGCAGGAAGGCTCACCGCCCTGCAAGTCTGAGATGAGTGGATAGACGGGGTGTTTAACCTGGGCCTCCTTCAATTTTCTTCCAGCCCTGGCCCATGCTGATTTATTAAAGGAAACACACTGTCTTTACTAAAATCACACCCCCCATCCCAGCTCCTGACCCCTGATGGTCCCTGTGCCCTGGGGGCAGGCAGGGAGCCCATGTGTTCGGGCTCACAGGTTGTTCCGCTGAAGCGCCTCACACAGGTTCTGGTTGGCATCGGGCTCCTCCGTCAGCACCTCTACAGTCTCCCATTCCCCAGATCGACTTGACCTTTTGATCGCATCCACCACGCTCTGCATGTACAGCCCATCCTCGAAGGAGGCGGCCATGGACACAGGGGTGTGGTCCCAGGTGCGGCGGTCGCCCTGGCCCTGGAAGGATTGACGCAAGGCCTGCACCATGTAGACCATGCCTTTCAGGTAGAGCAGCGGGACGTCCTCGGGGCCCTGCTCAGGCAGCCCGGCACCCACGGCCAGCGAGTCCCTCACTAGTAGCTCCTCCTGTGTGGCAGAGTTCTTCTGCCCATAGAGGTCAGCTCCCCGGGCCACAAGGCGCCCTGCAGAGCCCACCACCATGACCTCATGCACAAAGGCACCCGGCATGTTGAAGTTAAGTGTCACTGTGCTGCACACACCCCCACCCATGAGCATCTGGAAAAAGCAGAAGTCATCGCTGGTGACATGCCGGATGCCCCGGATGGCAGCATTCTGCCGCACGAAGGTCTTGAGAAGCCCGTGCACCTTCTCAGCTCTCCGGCCAGTCAGGTGGGTCAGCAGATCCACGATGTAGGTGCCCATGGTGTGCAGGCCCCCGCCGCCCATGAGCTCATCGCAGATCCAGCCGTAGCTGGGGCTGAGCAGGCTGCCCGAGTAGATGCGGGCATCACAGATCATCACTGCGCCCACATAGTGCTCTGCGATCAGCTGCTTCATCCGCACAAAGGCGGGCAGGAAGCGCAGCACGTTCCCCACCAGGCTCATGAGCTGCGGGTAGTATCGCGAGGCTGTCACCATCCGGAATGCATCCACCGACGTCGCGGCCTTCTCACAGACCACATTCTTCCCGATGCCTATGAATGAGACACAGTGGGAAATCTTAACTGCTGAAAAGAAATTTTTCCAAGGTGGATGGATCCAGGAAGGAGTCTCCTATGGACCAGGAGGAAGGGCGACTCAGCATAGACTGGAAAGTCTCAATGAATGCACTGGAGAAAGTTATAGGTTGGGTAAAGAGGACTTAAGTTCTTTTTTTCTTTTCTTTGTTTTCCCTAGAGCTGAGAATTTATCCCAGGCCTCAACAAATGCTGGGCAAGTGTTCTACCACTGAGCCAGAATCTTTATAATCATTATTTTTCTTTTCCTTCCACCCACACTTTCTTTAATAACAAAAAATTTTAAAAATATTTATTTACTTACTTATAGTGCTGCTAATGAGGCTGGAACTCAGAGCCTACGTGCAATCTCTTAGCTTTCTTTGCTCTATCACTTGAGCCACACCTCTACTTGCCAGTCCTGGGGCTTAAATTCAGGACCTGGGCACTATTCCAGAGCTTCTTTCTTTCTTTCTTTAGGTCGGTTGTGGGGCTTGAACTCTGGGCTGGGGCACTGTCCCTGTGCTTTTCAGCTCAAGGCAAGCGCCCTGCCATTTGAGCCACAGCACCACTTCCAGTTTTATTGGAGATAAGTCTCACAGACTTTCCTGCTGGGGCTGGCTTTGAACCTTGATCCTCAGATCTCAGCCTCCTGAGTGGCTAGGATTACAGGCGTGAGCCACTGGAGCCTGGTGGGACAAATCTTAAATAAGCCTCTCTCTCTCTTAATGTCTCATTGATTCAGTTTCTCTGGAGGACCTGATTAAAACACGAGGGCTGGAGAGGGGGAGATTCACATGGACATGTGTTCAACTGTTACCCATTTATCGGATCACCAGCTTGTGGTGAGATAATTGCCCTACATGCTAACAGGACGGGCTTAGCATTCCAGTCATAACTCCGAGGAGATCTAAGGGTCCCACAGATTGTTCTCTACAACCAGAGTCCAACAAGTGAGTGATCAAAAGGCCCGAGGGCAAACAGAGAGGATGAAAGAGTGTGAATATAGTCAAAAAACTTTATGTGAAAATGAACAGTGACACGTGTTCAGATTGGTTTAAGAAAGGGAAAGGGAGCGGGGCGCTGGTGGCTCACGCCTGTAATCCTAGCTACTCAGGAAGCTGAGATCTGAGGATCACGGTTCAAAGCCAGCCCGGGCAGGAGAGAACGTGAGACTCCTATCTCCAATAAACCACCAGAAAACTGGAAGTGGCGCTGTAGCTCAAGTGGTAGAGCGCTCGCCTTGAGCTGAAGAGCTGAGGGACAGCGCCCAGGCCCAGAGTTCAAGCCCCACGACCGACAAAAAAAAAAAAAAAAAGAAAGGGAAAGGGGAGACAGTGGAGAGTAACAAAGGTGATGGGTCTGATCAAGGTACATTGTATAATATATGTACATGTCAAAAGGAAACTCATTTTCACAAATAATCGATGCTAATTTAAAAGGGGGGGCTGCAAGAGGAGAGAGCAGCGTGACTAGTGAGACACCTTTTTTTTTTTGGGTCCGTTCATGGGGCCTGAACTCTGGGCCTGGGCGCTGTCCCTCAGCTCTTCAGCTCAAGGCTAGCGCTCTACCACTTGAGCCACAGCGCCACTTCCGGCTTTTTTTCTTTTTGCGTATGTGGTGCTGAGGAATCAAACCCAGGGCCTCAGGCATGCAAGGCAAGCGCTCTACCACTGAGCCACCTTCCCAGCCCTAGTGAGACACCCTTTGAACACAGTACCTAGAAGTCCTTTGGGAGGGCTGTTCTGTGGATTCTCTGAAGGCCTTGAGCTAACCAGTAAGTATTTGAGCCACACCCCCAAATCCTTTTGCTTTTAGTTTTTCAGATAGGGTTTTAAGCTAAATTTGCCTTGGGTGGCTTTGAATTGAGGTTGTCCTGTTTCTGCCTCTGCAGTAGCTGGTATTACAGGCATGGGCCCCCCATGTCTGGCTACCAGGATTCTTACGGCATGGACATCAAAGGCACTCAGACTCCCAGAAACCAGCAGAACAGACTGTGTCACCTTTAGGAAGACTTGGGTTGCCTTAAAAGACATCTTCATATAAGCTCATTTAGCTTTCCTGCCAGGATTACAGGAGCTGAAAGCTGCTTTTTGCATCCTGGACAACTTTAGGTGGTTTTTCAATTTTTTTGTTCTTCAGTTCTGTGGGTTCAAACCCAAGGCTTTGAACATACTAAACACTGAGCTTCACACTCAGTCCCTTAAGTTCTTTTTTAGCTCAAATTTTCTGAGGGTAGATGAGTTTCAAGCTGCAAGCCTGTCTTCAGTACATGCTCCCTTGAGCAAGGCCCAGAGGAACTGTTCCAGGCTCTGCAGACCAATGCTTTGTTCCTCAGTAGCACCTACAGGCAGCCAGGTTCACAGGCTGGGCCCAGAAGGATCTAGGTAGGAAACTCTTATCCAGAAGGGACTAGAAAAATGATTGCACACAGCAGAATGGAGAAGCAGCCCATGAAGAATACTAATATTTAAGCCGGGCGCCGGTGGCTCATGCCTGTAATCTAGCTACTCAGGAGGCTGAGATCTGAGGATCGAGGTTCAAAGCCAACCTGTGCAGGAAACTCTGTGAGATTCTTATCTCCAATAAACCACTAGAAAACCGGAAGTGGTGTTGTGATTCAAGTGGTAGAGCGCTCGCCTTGAGCTGAAGAACACACAGAAAGCGCCCAAGCCCAGAGTTCAAGCCCTACAACCGACCAAAAAAAAAAAAAGAATACTAATATTTATATTTATAAGACATAAAGTCCAGGAAGACCCTGTTCTTCTCCCCCTTGCCCTCCAGCCCCCTCACCAGTCCTGGGCTTGAATTCAGGGCCTGGGCACTGTCCCTGAGCTGCTTTTGCTCAAGGCTAGCACTCTACTACTTGAGCCACAGTGGCACTTTTGGCTTTTTCTGTTTCTGTGGTGCTGAGGAATCAAACCCAAGGCTTCATACATGCTAGGAAGCACTCTACCACTAAGCCACATTCCCAGCCCCAGGAGTCCCTGTTCTAATGAAGAAGATTTGGATACTAGAAAAGAAAGCAATAGATTCTTCTTTTCCACAGCCCAATCTCCTCTCCTTCCCAGGTCCATGTTAGCTCCCTGAATCCACCAGCAGACTGGACTTACTGTATGGACAGAGTTGGCAAATATCTTTTTTTTTTTTTGGGGGGGGGGTCCAGTCGTGGGGCCTGAACTCTGGGCCTGGGCGCTGTCCCTCAGCTCTTCAGCTCAAGGCTAGCACTCTACCACTTGAGCCACAGCGCCACTTCCGGCTTTTTTCTTTTTGCTTATGTGGTGCTGAGGAATTGAACCCAGGGCCTCAGGCATGCAAGGCAAAGCGCTCTACCACTGAGCCACCTTCCCAGCCCGAGTTGGCAAATATCTTTTTTTTGTCGGTCGTGGGGCCTAGCTCTGGGTCTGGGTGCTGTCCCTCAGCTCTTCAGTTCAAGGCTAGCACTCTACCACTTGAGCCACAGTGCCCCTTCCGGCTTTTTCTGCTTATGTGGTGCTGAGGAATTGAACCCAGGGCCTCATGCATGCAAGGCAAGCACTCTACCACTGAGCCACCTTCCCAGACCCAAGTTGACGAATATCTTATCCAACCAGAGCCCCAGGAACTGGCCAAGAACTGGGGCCCTACTGGGCATGGGCTCAACCTTCTAAGGGCTTACAATCTTAATAGGTTCAAATGATCAAACAAATAAATATAGGAACATACTCCAAGTAAATATGATGAAGATTACTGGTGGGATGAGACCAGACAGCAGGGATTTGGTCTGGCCCTGAGACCAGGAGGCTTCTGAAGGGACTGGAGATCTTGGGATTAAATTATCTGGGTCAGCCTGCTTGAGGAATGATCTTTTATTAGGATGATATCCCATGGGAAAGAGAAAATTTGTTTTTCTAAGAAAACAAATGCTAAGAGCTGAGCCATAGCGCATCATCTTTTAGTGACAGATTCAACAGTGGCAAAGACATGGAAGTACTCTGCCCATTAAAATACATTTTCCTAAACTATTTCTGAATTGAATAGGGAATTAAAATGTACCAAGGATTCTTCTATTCTCCTTTAAGGAATTCCTGGGAAAGCTTTAAGTATAGAATTTGAAACATAGAAGATGGGGAAAATGGTCAGGCAGTGGCAGAAAAACAAGATGCCACAGAATTGTGAGATGCCAAGTAAACCTCTGTAGGATTAATTAAAAATTAATTTTAGAAAGGATGTGGTAATTCATGCCTCTAGTTTAGAACTCAAGACTCTGGGGCAAAAAGATCTTCAGATGGAGGCCAGCCTAGACTAATGAGTTTGAGGCTAGCCTAGATGCCATTGCAAGACCAACCAAACAAAATGCAGAAAAAAAAATAAAAGAATTAAGACAAGAGACAATTTTTTCCCTCCAGTCCTGGGGCTTGAACTCAGGGCCTAGGTGCCGTCCCTGAGCTTCTTTTACTCAAGGCTAGCACTCTACCACTTGAGTCACAGCACACTTCCAACTCTTTCTGGTAGTTTATTGGAGAATCTCTCAGCCTGGGCTGGTTTGGAATTGTGATCCTCAGATCTCAGCCTCCTGAGTGGCTAGGATGACAGGTGTGAGCCACTGGCACCTGGCAAGAGACAATTCTTATGGACCCAGAAATGAGGTAACAACATAGCAAGAAGAGGGACATTCAATGTTCCATTTTGTGACTTGAGAAGTTATCATTCCTCAATATTCCTGGGCCTCAGTTTCTCTCTTTTCTTACGGGTATTGGCATTAAACCCAGGCCTAGCAGATGCTAGTTAATTGGGGCTCATGTATATCCTCCTACTTACAGTAGGTAGGTATGAAAAGAGAAAACCAACAGCCCCAGAAGCCCCTGTGACCCCTGCTCTTTCCTGTTTTTATCAAGTAGCTCAAAACATACTGTTTTCTTAGACTAAAAATTTAAAAATAGCCGGCTCACGGCCAGAGAATCCCAGGGTTCCCTCTTTCTCCTGCATAGCTTAGAAATGGTCTCCATGGAGACACTAAAACTCAGGGAGGGCACAGAAAGCCTCTAACACATCACTCACCAGCGACATTCACAACATTCACTGACTTGGGTGATTCCCATGGAAGCGACTCTTCATTGAAGCACTGGCTTATTCTACTTTCTAAATTCAATTAGGAGCCACTATCTCCTTCCAGTGTCACCTATCTTTAGAGAGCTCTCCAGAAAAGACAAACCATCCACAATTTTTGGCTAAGTTGACAGCCAGATGTATTCAAGTTCGTACTTGATTCAATCAACATTAATCTTCCCCTAACCACTAGGTCAAATGTGACAGAAATTCTCTTCTATGACTTTTTTTCCTTAGAACAAGGGAGAGATAAGCAGTACAGCCTTGGAGCTTCTGCCATGGTAGCAGCCAGAAAGAGTGGTAGTCTCCTGGCATACAGGTTCGTGACCCAGAGATCTCTGATTACCTCTGAGATCCTTGATTCCTTATATAAAACAATTACTTGTTAGCTGGGTGCCAGTGGCTCATGCCTGTAATTCTAACTACTCAGGAAGCTGAGATCTGAAGATCACAGTTCAAAGTTAGCCCAGGCAGAAAATTCTGTGAGACTCATCACCAATTAACTACCAAAAAGTTTGAAATGGAGCTGTGGCTCAAAATGGTAGAGTGCTAGCCTTGAACACAAAAGTTTAGGGATAGCACGCAAGCCCTGAGTTCAAGCCCAGAACCAGCACAAAAACAAAAATAAGGCAAACCCCGATTATATGATATTTGAATGGTTACTTAAGTCTTCTGTCACTCAGCTTGTGTGTTTCTATTTATTTCATTTGAGACAGGGTAGCCTTGAACTTGAGATCCTGGCTTAGCCTCCGAAGTGCTAGGATTACAAGCATGCCCCCCACCTCATGGCTCAACAGCCTCGACTTAAACTCACAACCCTCCTGAGTTCTGGGATTATAGATATGGACCACCTCACCTGGCTTCTAGGATTCTAGAGGCAGGGACGACTGTGATACAGCACAGCTTTGAAGGTCTGGGCACACAGGAAGCCCTAAAAAAATAATTTCTGGCTAAATGTTTACTGGTTTGTTTTTCCTACTAAATAAGATTCTGATTTGCATAGGATGAAGAAAAGAATCTGTCCACAGTTGATAGGAAAAAGCCCAGTAGGAACTGCAGAACTACTTAGCAGGCTAGGCCCAGCAGCGGGGTAGAGGCGCAAGAGGTCTCTAAGCCCACAGTTCCCAGTGGGAGTGGCTACACCAGCAGGCTGTACCTCAGATCCTGTGGGCAAAGTCAATGCTATCAGAGCGCCTTTCCTGCCGTCTGGCTCTACAAGATTGTGGTTGGCAGGAAGGGCGTGTGCTCACTACAGTCAAGGGCTGACAAAGCATGGGAAACAGCAGCCTGCTACACCACCTCCTCTTCTTCCTGTGGTGCTGCCTCTCGCCATGGGGAAAAACAAATGTGTCAATCACCAGCAGTTTCCCAGTGTCCAGGGAATGCTGATTCCCAGAGGTAGGCCTTGACTTTGCTTGAAATACAATTATCTGCAGCCCCTTGGTGGGCCACCCCAGCTTTTGCTGAGGGATTTACTAATGTAGGTGTAAGACTCTCCAACCCACTCTCCTCCTCCAGAGCTCTGCTTAAGGGGTGGCAGATGGGCCATAGTACTACCACCTGCAAACGCAGCCCAGGAAAGAATACCCAGGCCCAGAGGAGAGCACTGAGGCTCTGAGGACTATCCAGAGGGACAGTGTGCCTGTCACAATCCAACTTACATACCTAGAGCCTTCACAGATATCTGGCGGGTGAGCGGAGGGGGGATGTTGATGCACACCAGGTCTACATCTTGATGCAGTAAGACATCATCAGTCCGGCTGGTGTAGAAGGTGATGTTCATCTCCTCAGCCAGCTGCTTTGCCTCCTCCTCCGTCTTCCCCCACAGGGCCTCCACTGTGAATCCTTCTGCCCTCAGCAGTGGGACCAAGACCCGGGCCGAGCTGCCAGTACCAAATACACCCACACCTGGCAGCATCTTCATCCTGGCCTCAGCTCACCAACTCATCGCTTCACAAGGGCCTCCGGCATGGAGCTGACCTTCCCAAAGTCCTGGTCAAACATGGCTCCTAGAAAGACAAGCAATACATTGGTGAGTAGTGGAGGACACGCTTTTAGCTATGGTCACTTTCTTGGCTTATTATAAGCAACAAGTTCTCTAAAGGTGTGAGCCACCGGTGCTTAGGCTCAAAGTTTTTTTTGTTTGTTTTTTGTTTTTGTTTTTTGTATAAAAATATTCACTAGGCTGGGAATGTGGCTCAGTGGTAGAGTGCTTGCCTAGCATGCATGAAACCCTGGGTTAGATTCCTCAGTACCACATACACAGAAAAAAACCAGAAGTGGTTCTGTGGCTCAAGTGGTAGAGTACTAGCCTTGTGCAAAAAGAAGCTCAGAGAGGGCTGGGAAGGTGGCTCAGTGGTAGAGCGCTTGCCTTGCATGCATGAGGCCCTGGGTTCGATTCCTCAGCACCACATAAGCAAAAAGAAAAAAAGCCGGAAGTGGCGCTGTGGCTCAAGTGGTAGAGCGCTAGCCTTGAGCTGAAGAGCTGAGGGACAGCGCCCAGGCCCAGAGTTCAGGCCCCACAACCCACCCAAAAAAAAAAAAAAAAAATTGTGAGTGCATCTTGTAGCATACACTGGACTGGATGTATGACTCAATGGTAGAGTACCAGCCATGATGAGCAAATAGGGCATGAGGCTCTGACCTCAAGAGCTAAACCTTGCAACAGAGGAAGGAAGGAAGGAAGGAAGGAAGGGAGGGAGGGAGGATGGGAGGGAAAAAAAAAAAGGAAGGAAAAAAGGAAGAGAGAGGAGAAGGAAAAGAAAGAAAACAAAGGAGAAAAGAAGGGGAAAGGAAGAGAGGGTGGCAGGGAGGAAGACTGTCAGGGCAGTAAGCACAATTTCAGAAGTCAGATTTTTAAAGATAATTGGTAAACTAGGGGACTCTAAGGTGCTTCTAAATCTTCTTCTTCTTCTTTTTATTATTATTATTATCATCATCATCATCATCCTGGGGCTTAAACACAGGGCCTAGGTACTGTCCCTGAGCTTTTGCTCAAGGCTAGCACTCTACCACTTGAGCCATAGTGTCACTTCCTGCTTTTTCTGTTTGTGTGGTACTGAGGAATCAAACCTAGGGCTTTATGCAGGCTAGGCAAGCACTATACCACTGAGCCACCTTCCCAGCCCTGACAATTTTTTTTTTTTTTTGTCAGTCATGGGGTTTGAACTCTGGGCCTGAGTGCTGTCCCTCAGCTCTTCAGCTCAAGGCAAGTGCTCTACTGCTTCAGCCATGGCTGCACTTCCAGTTTTCAAGTGGTTTATTGGAGATAAGAGTCTCAGACACTTTCCTGCCCAGGCTGGCTTTGAACCGTGATCCTCAGATCTCAGCCTCCTGAGTAGCTAGGATTACAGGCATGAGCCACCAGCGCCCGGCTGCACTGACAATTTTTAACAAGTTAAACCCAAATGGGGGAACTTGCTGACCAACTTGTATGCACATAATAGAATGCTTCCTTTGTATCTCTCACAGGTCAGTCAACCCATTTCTGAGCTTAACAGAGACAACACATTCCTCTGTAAAAGCATCACTTAACTATTCTTTTACATACACACATCTTCCCCTTTCTGACATTCTCAACTCTGGCCATTATTGAATGCCACTTTAAGTCTCTTCTACTCTTCTCCCAGGCCAACGTTGAGGTTCCTGAACTTCCATCACCACCAGTTTCCTGTCCCCAATCCAAGTACAGCTTGAGGCCCCTCCCCTTTGTAAGATCTTCTTTTGTGTAGTGACTTCCAGATCTGCAGCACAAGTCAAGTTTCTCTGCAGAGCTTCATGTATATGTACTGCTTTATTGTTCTAGCAGCTCCACAAAAGCCACATGATCAAAGAAGCAGTAAAGGGAAGTGGTGAGCACAGATGCTCTAGTGAAGGCATCAGTGTTATCTAGATTCTAATCCTACATCGCTGCTTCTTAGCTGAACACAACTGCGAATTACTTGAAGTCAGGGCTTTACACAATGCTAGGTAATTCCTTTACCACTGAGATATGCCTTCAGTGCCACTATCATCTACTCTAGATACAAGGGTACTAGTAACCCATGCCAATGAAAGTCTTCCTCTCATACAGCATTCCTCCTGACTCTAGTTATATTTGGGTATACACATGTTTAAATATCAGTTGTGTAAAACAACAGATTAGAATGGTCAGTAACCTCTGTTTTACTTCCCCTGACTCAAAAGCAGCTTCATCACACCTGTACAGGGCATCAGCTGACCCTGAGAGAGCCAGATGGCATGAAGCTAGGCAGGCTTGATGATTAGGTATTTCCTGCTCAAGCAGGCACAGCTGGTTTTCCTTGTTTACTTCAGTGGCCACTCTTTCTCACCCCTAATATTTCCCTATTCTGACCTTAAATCCCTGTACCTTACCCTTCATACACCTCAAAAGACCTCCATGAACCCAGCCCTCACCATATGCTGGTCAAGGACGAAGAGTGAACAATGCTTGGTTATGGCAAAGGAAGACAGGATAGAGGCTACATGAAGGGAACAGGAGCCATTTTGCTTGGGTTCAAATTCTACCTCCATTATTTCCCACATGGGTAAACTTAGGTAAGTCTTTAATAATTCTGTGTGTCCATTTCCACATCTGCAAAGTGAAGATAATTGTCTCTACTTCCTAGGGGACTTAAAAGATTAAATGAGGTAATATTTTAAAGCACATTGTTTACTCCGCTGTAAATCACTATCTTGTTTTTTGTGTTTTTATACTGGAGATTGAACCCAGAGCCTCATGACATGTACGCTACCACTGAGCTACATCCACAGCCCACCTTTTTTTGTTTTTGAGACAGGGTCTCACGATGTAGACCAGGTTGGCCTTAAACCCACAATCCTGCCTCAGCTTTCCAAATGCTGGGATTACAAATGTGTGCCACCATACACAGTTTATGTATCGTATCACATACAAAGGGAGCAGAATGGTGGGGGGAACACGCAAAAAGATGCAAAGTATTAGAAAGGTGAGTTGCAGCCTGAACTAGTGGCATCAAGTTCTAATGGAAGGATGGTAGACTTTGGCAGGTGGGGGTGCTGTGTGCTTTAGGTCTTCCTCTCGGATCCTCTCCACCAGGTTCAGGAGTCTGAAGGTCAAATGCTAAAGGCCTGGACTCCAGGGTTTCCAGCCTCCTTATGGGTATAGTAGGAAATCCCAGGAAGATATCTGAGAGGAGGAAGAAAGGTCATGGTACTTAGTCTCTGCTCTCTCTCTCTCCGTTCCAGGATGTGCTTCTGGCAAGACCTGTGTTGCTTGACTGAGGTCTTGAACTAGGGCTTGAACTCAGGACCTGGGCACTGTCCCTGAGCCTTTTTGTGCTCAAGGCTAGCACTCTACCACTTAAGCCACAGTGCCACTTCCGGCTTTTTTGAGTAGTTTACTGGAGATAAGAGTCTCACGTGGCTCACACAGACAACTCCATGAGAGTCTCTCTTTTTAAATATTTATTTATTTATTTATTTTGTTGTTTGAGGGGCCTGAACTCTAGGCCTAGGCACTGTCCCCCAGCTCTTCAGCTCAAGGCTAGGACTTGAGCCACAGCACCACTTCCGGCTTTTTCTGCTTATGTGGTGCTGAGGAATCGAACCCAGGGCCTCATGCATGCAAGGCAAGCGCTCTACCACTGAGCCACCTTCCCAGCCCTCTTTTTTTATTTTTCTGTGCCACTCCTAGGGCTGGAACTCAAGGCTTGGGCACTGTTCCTGAGCTTCTTTTTGCTCAAGGCTAGTGCTCTACCACTGAGCCAAAGTTCCACTTCCGTTTTTTTTCTGAGTGGTTTATTAGAGATAAGAGTCTCAAGGACAGCCAGGCGCTGGTGGCTCACGCCTGTAATCCTAGCTACTCAGGAGGCTGAGATCTGAGGATCATGGTTCAAAGCCAGCCCTGGCAGGAGAGACCTGAGACTCTTATCTCCAATAAACCAGCAGAAAACCGGAAGTGGCGCTGTAGCTCAAGTGGTAGAGCACTCGCCTTGAGCTGAAGAGCTGAGGGACAGCGCCCAGGCCCAGAGTTCAAGCCCCACGACCTACCAAAAAAAAAAAAAAAAGAGTCTCATGGACCTTCCTGAGACTCTTAATATCCAAACAACCAGCAAAAAGCTAAAAATGAAGCCTAGTCATGTGCAAAAAAGCTGAAGACCTTCATTTGACTTTCAGTAGAAGCCCCAGTAGCAGCAAGAACATGTGTGCATGCATGCACACACGCGCATACACAATGCTACCAATTATGTTAGTTTTTTTTTTAACTCAAGGTTAGTATTTGGACTTTTCTAATCAATTTCACTTGATGTAACTTAGATGGCTATTTACTAGTTGAGATCACTTGGGCTATTTTTTTTTCATGATCTTTTCTTTTTTGTTTTTGTTTTTGTCAGTAGTGAGACTTGAACACTGGGCCTGGGCGCTGTCCCTGAGCTCTTCAGCTCAAGATGAGTGTTCTACCACTTGAGCTACAGTGCCACTTCTGGTTTTCAGGTGGTTAATTGGAGATAAAAGTCTCACAGCCGGGTGCCAGTGCTCACGCCTGTAATCCTAGCTACTCAGGAGGCTGAGATCTGAGGATCTCGGTTCAAAGCTAGGCCGTGAGACTCTTATCTCCAATAAGCTACCAGAAAACTGGAAGTGGCGCTGTGACTCAAGTGGTAGAGTGCTTGCCTTAAGCTGAAGAACTAAGTGACAGCGCCCAGGCCCAGAGTTCAAGCCCCAGGACCAACGGAAAAAAAAAGTCTCACAGACATTCCTGCCTGGGCTGGCTTTGAACGGAGATCCTCAGATCTCGGCCACCTGAGTAGCTAGGATCACAGGCGTGTGCCACCAGCACTGGGCTCATGATCCTTACTTTCTTCAAGCCAGTAATATCTAACTTTTATATATTATGTGCCAAGTGCTTTACTGGCATTATGTTATGTAACTATTACAACATCTTCACTTTACAAATGAGGAAACTAAAGTCTCTCTCTCTTTCTGTCTCTCTGTCTCTCTTTGTTGCCAGTCCTGGGGTTTGAACTCA